CTGGTTTATCCTTTATTCGGACCCCGCTGATTTTTAATTGGTTACCCCTTGGTCTAGGGTATCCCATGATTCATTGTGAGTCCAAGCAAGCCAGCAGCTCCATGTTCAGAGGACAAAATGAAATGGTGATAACCAGTGGTGAACGTTGCAAGTGCAGTTTAATGTAATAAAAGTATGTGAATAGTGTTGTATTAAATTAATGAAAATACTCCAATATCTGTGCAGCTTCAGGACTACAAATCTGATATCAGTACTGCTTGTCACTACCCGAACCGTCCCGGAAGCACGATCCGTCCTGTGCAAGCACAAACAGATCTACATCCAGGTGTCCATAAATAATGTAATTATGGAACTAAAATTACTTATTTTCTTCGTTAAACTGCTTCTCTGACGTCATCATGGGAGATGATCAGAGCAGTTTGGCAAAATATGATTAAACCATGTTTATCTGCATTTTAGTTGTTTATTTCTTTATATAACGCACCATAATGTTATAGATTATGTAGATTTATGTTTAAATACAAAGCCGAAAAAGTTAGCCACTGGAAGTAGCGTAGGATCCCATTTCTGCTGCAGATCGGGCAGAGACGAGTGATAGAACAGAAAGGATTTTAAGGCATTTATTTCCTCAGGATATACATTATAAACTTTTAACACATCATATTTTAGTACGCTTACTATTTTGGTTGAGGGGAAAACGTCCTTTAGGTCTTTTTACCAAAATAAATTTGAGTGCGACCCAGATGTATATCTGGATGCACATGTGAAAATGAGCTGATGGCGCATGTGCATCCTACATCTAGGATTGTGCTTCCGGGAGGAATCAGGTAGTGACACTGCTGAAAAATGGAATACGCACACAGGACAGAAGGAAGAAGTTAGCATCCATTTTTTTGCCTGTTTTGTGAATCAACTGTAATGGTTGCTAAGCGACAAAGCTTATGCTGACTGAGGGGCGAGACAGTCGTGGAAGGCTGGACCTGTTTGAATCTATAGCTGAACTTCTGTAGCTCTTCCAGCCTCCTAATTTTTGAGCCTACCTGGATCCGGACTGGGTCCTTCAGAGGACACAGCCGCCGAAAGCAAACAAAGCCATAATGTGCAACTTAGAAGAAAAA